TCACACACAATAGAGCTGCTGCATATTTTAATCGAACGAATAAACCAGTTACAGTGTATTTTACAGTAGTGATGAGCGATCCAGTGATTTGTAAAGAACTTCGTTCTAAGTGAACGTGATTTGTAAATCACTGTTCTTTAAAACAGTGACTGTGATCACGGTTTTCTCTTATAAAGCAAAACAATATTAATATTTTTTCGATTATTTTGCTTAAAACCAAATTTTTTACAATAACAACGTATTTTATTGGATCTTATGTTAAGTATATACATACATTAATATTACTGATCAAAATAAAATTGGTGACATCAGAGTGAGAGAAGTTTACTAAATGAAAAAATTTCGAATTGTATACATACTATGTTATAATACGTATTTGGTTCAATGAATTTTAGAAGGTAAAAAAAAAGATCGATATTGCAAGTAACTGTTATTTGATATTTTCAGTCACAGTAGCTACCAGAGAATTATCAATCACAGTGATTAAATCACAGTCGTGAAAATATCGCTCATCTCTATTTTACAGTGATATATATAGTACATTTTTACTCAGCTTTTGATATTTTAACTCGTGCAAATAAATAAATCGTGCAATTTAAATACAAATTTAACTCATTAATAAAATTTCATTAAAGAATAATTATTTTTAAGTGAAAAATAATTATTAATTTTATTCGAAGTGAGTTTAATCGTTTGCAGTATTAGTGTGTTTTTTTGTTTAATTTTTATACCTTTTTATACCCTCCATCACCATCAGTGGTGATAGAGTGTATATATAAGTTTGTCATTCCGTGTGTAACACAAAGAAATATTCATCTGAGACCCAACAAAGTATATATATTCCGGGTCCTTATCAAATTCTGAGTCGATTTAAACACGCTCATGTAAAAACGATGCTAAATAAATTAATGAAATTCGGCCAAATGATACACTATTGTTTTGCATTGAAAATGAGCAAAATCGGTTTACATCGGAGAGAGTTATGAATCAAAATTTTAAAAAAATCCCAAAAGCTTTTAACAAATTCTAACACAGTTTTACTAAAAACTATGCGATATAATTTCATAAAAATCAGCACACAATTTTTCTATATGAAAGCAACAATTTCATACATTTTCTGCATCGGTCCATAACTGGCCGTAGCTCCCATACAAGTTCCCCTGTTCAAGTTCAGATCGTCAGTAAAGATTTATCCAACTCTGGTAAGCGACAATCGGTGACGTTTCCAAAATCTTGGAGAGAAATCATCAAATGAGGGCGCTGTGGTCATCAGTGGGTCTTTATATGACGATTTTTCGTTTAACCAGGAGGTTCGGCATAAATTTTGGCGACGTGTAGTCGTTTTTCAACCATCTTAGATAAAACATACATACATAGTATCAGAACAATTGTCATTAAATAAATAAAACTAAAAATTTAGAGCGAAGTTGTTGTTTTCCTTATTTATAATACCAAAGGAATAAAACCATCGTTGTTAACAAATAAAACAATTTGATTTTGTTTTTTATTCGTTATTAGTGCCATTTCGTTATTGCCATAATCTTCACCCTTCCCTCTAAGAAACCCCAGAGCTAAACATTTGGTCCTTCGAACCGAATTGTTGTGGATATTTTGATAATTTTTGTGGATTTTTGGTGGAGAAAGAAGGTGAAGTAAATTCTATAATATCTTTTATTACATTTCTTGTAACATTTTGTATAAAAATATACAAAATTTTACATGAAATAAGATAGTCAAAACAGCATTACCTTTGAAGGCACAAAAAGGTAATATAGTTCATGACTTTTGTAATTGGATGTGAACGGTATTATAAATTTTCTACATAATTTCCCAATATTTTGTGCTATGCATTATCAAAGGTAAATGGTGTGGCTATAAAAACACTGCATTGCCGTAAGTGGTTAATGAATTGGCTAAAAAAGGATAGGCAGTGCGATCGAGTTTTTTGACAACTCTACCAACTCTAGCAACCTTCTTATCTAGTTGAGAGTGACAGCTGATGTTTTTGACATATTTTTTATTCATTTTTTTCCTTTTTTAATTGGCACATATTTTCATCTAAGATTTTTATAATTTAAAATTTTAAATTTATGTTTTTCCCAATTGGATAATAAAAATTATATTCCGGAATTATTGAAAATCAAGTGTACGAGCTACCAAAAAAGTGTTATTTGTGGTTTAATAGAATTATTGTGGTTTAGTACAATTATCTACACCGGGCAAGGAAGCTGTGTACTATACCACGAGGCAACTTAAAATTGTTCCAAAATCAGATACTGACCAGATTGTTGTTGCTTATCGTATACAAGCGGTGTTCCTAACAGAGAGTTGGAGATGGTTGCACTTCTATTGTTTACATAAATAGATGGTTTTGGTTGTTGGTAGCGTTGTTGAAGTACGTTCTGGCATCCTGCTATTCGCTAACACAAGAAAACTGCTGCGGTGAAAAAAAAGGTACGTCTTATGAAATTTAAGTGGTTGATGATTTACTTGTTTTTATTTATTGACAAAGATTGTTGTCAGTGGTAATTTTTGTATTACAATCTAACTAAAGGTGGTTGAAAGTTAGTACGAGTCAGTGATAATAACCACTTGAAAATGTTCATTAACTCGGAAAATTGCTAGGAGAATCAAAATCATAAACATTTAATCTCGTTGAGAACTTTTACAAGTTACTTTTTGTATAATTACATAAAAGAATTGAACAGCTTTTTTTACTTATTGTCAGCCAATTGTTTTGTGCTTGTATGGAAAGTTTGCTAAGTGAATTGTTCAATTAATAATCTTGGTGTAAATGAATTTTAGTACCCAGTTAAAACTATGTTACAAGTGGCAATACGCAATGAGAAAAAGCTATAAAAATAACAACGAGGAATAGGAAAAACTTAATTCTTTACGATAGTAGTACTTTTTGATTAGTCTTATCAATCTAGGATTATTTTAATATTCGTCTGGTTTAATTCAATACCAGAGTAAATATTGGATAAAGATAATATTACACCTATTTAAAGACTCAAGCATCAGTAAAATTTCGCTTAAAGTCCTGTCGTGTTAAATTTAACAACAGGCTGAACCACATTTTTACTTAGAAGGATTGTTGTCTAAGTAAATTTTGAATTTCTTATTGAAATATTGTGGTAAAACTTTCGAGCTCAATATTTTAATTTGGGAAAGGAAAATCATTGATTAGAAAATGAAATCTGAGATTTTAAGGAAATTTGAAAAGCTGGCTACTTTGTTTCTCGAGTTCGAGAACGATTACAATGAAATGCCACAAGAAAATCGTAGTTCATTTAGCATCGACCTTCAGAAGGAGGAATTTAAAATCTTATGAGATAAGGTTAAAGATGCTTATGAAGCTTTTTTACTTAATAGCGATGACAAAGATTCGGAAGAAGATTGTGATCAGGCCAAACACACTTATAAGGAATGTAGGTTGGCTTACATTACTATTGCTGCTATAATGGGCGAATTGTCTCAATCCTTTTTAAATAAGTCAGCTCTTTCTTCTACTCAATGTGTAACGGGTGCTAGTGCAGCTTTAGCTAGTATTATGAGTCGTAATTCTAACCACCATATGAGGTTGCCACCTTGCACTATGGAAGTTTTTAAAGGGGATTATCGCTCATGGCTGTCTTTTCGCGATATGTTTACGGCCGTTTACATCAATTGCGACGATCTATCTGAAGTCGAAAAATTGTTTTATTTGAGACAATTTACAAGTGAAGATGTTCTTGAAATCGTAAAAAATTCCTCCTTGACAAACCAAGGTTTTAATAACGCTTGGAGAAATTTAAGTGATGCATATGAAAATAAGAGAATTTTAGTCAATAGTCAACTCAAAATTCTATTCAATCTTTCCCCTGTAAAATCCGAGTCTGCAAAGGATATAAAGAGGTTGCAAAGGGATATTAATAATTGCATCTCTGTGTTAAACCTACATAACATAGATATTTCTACGTGGGACCCTATTTTTATTTATCTTTGCTCAATTAATTTGCCGGTCCTCACTTTATCCCTATGGGAACAAAATGTTGAGAATAAAAAAGAGATTCCCAAGTGGAGCGAATTGGACAATTTTTTAACGTCGCGTTTTCAATCTTTAGAGACAGTATTTGACTTTCGAAATTCTGGTACTGAACATAATGCCAAAGGAAGATTTAAAAAAAACTGAACAGTTTGTAAAGAAAGGTCCGAAGGTCAATAAATTAAATAGGAATACCTACAGTAACAACGCGACCTAAGAAGGAAAATATAAATCATTTCAGACCCAAGTTGAGAATAAGCGTTGCCCCCTGTGCCCAAAAGTTCATGAGATTAGATATTGCTCTAAATTTATGGAAATGAATCCCGAACAAAGGTTTCTAACTGTTAAAAAGCAGAATCTTTGCATTAATTGTTTAGGTGGCGGTCATAAATTAGATACGTGTTCCTATAAATATGGGTGCTCGATTTGTAAACTGAAGCACAATACACTATTGCATAGGGATGTTTCTGGTCCTCCTACAATTGTTAATACCCAAGAGGGGCCTGCTACAAGTGCAGCGAACTCTCAAAAAACGACTGTCCAGAATTGTTTTGCAGCTGCAAGACAACAAGTTCTATTGGAAACAGCCATCGTAAATATAGAATGTAGGGGCGATATGTTTTCTGCTAGAGCATTGATCGATTCGGGAACTCAGGCTACTTTCATTTCGGAAAGTTTGCAAAGAAAACTTGATTTACCTGTTAAAAACATTAGTGCTGAAGTCTCAGGACTGAATGGTGCAGTAGCAGGCTCTATTAAAAAGCAATGTTCATTGGTTTTGAGTTCGATGTATGATTCTGGATTCAAATTACAAATTGAAAGTCTTGTTTTGCCTAGATTAACTTGAAAATTGCCAATCGAATCTATTAATATTTCACAATTATGTCTATCAAATCTAAATTTAGCATACCCAAATTTTGCGAAAAGTAGTCAAGTTGATATCTTGATTGGTGGTGATATTTACCCTAAAATTATGCTTGATGGTGTTAGAAAAAATGTGCTGGAAAACTTAATAGCACAGGAAACACGTTTTGGTTGGATTTTGATAGGTCCACTTTCTAATAGCACACAAGGTGCTTTCACCACAAGTGTTTCTTTTTATACTGATGTCAGGCTAGATAAACAAATAGAAAAATTTTGGACGCTAGAAGAACCACCACAGCATTCTCCGTTCACTCCAGAAGACGAATATTGCGAGGAACATTATAAGAATACAGTCAAACGAACTTCTGAAGGGCGTTATATGGTTTCGTTACCTTTTAAACCACAATACTCAACTGATAATTGTTTAGACAATTCACGAGAGAAAGCAAAGAAACTATTTTTGCGGAATGAGGCATCATTAGCTAGAAAGCCTGATTTAAAATTGATTTACGATAATGTTCTTACTGAATATGAAGTTCTAAATCACATGTGTCAGGTTAAATATGAAGAGTCAGAGGCGTTAAAAACGTTCTATTTACCACACCATGCTGTGTTCAAGCCTGAAAGCTCTGCAACAAAAGTGAGAGTTGTATTCAATGCATCTTGCAGGTCTACAAATGGATTGAGTCTTAATGACTTGTTGTATTCTGGACCTATTTTGCAAAATGACATAATGTTACTTGTTATCAGATGGCGTTTTTATCGATATGTTTTTAATGGCGATATTGAGAAAATGTACCGTCAGATTTTGATTGACCCTCAACAGTCCAGATTTCACAGAATTGTTTTCCGTGAAAATGAACACGATGATTTGAAGGATTTTTAATTAAAAACTGTTACGTTTGGTATCAACAGCGCACCATTTTTGGCAATAAGGACTTTACATCAGCTGGCTGATGACGTAAAGGCAAAATGGCCGTTAGCTTCTAAAATCTTACGTCGTATGATGCATGTAGACGATGCTTTAGCTGGTGCACATGAAGTTTCTTTAGCTATTAAAGCACGAAATCAGTTAATTTTGACCTCTAATGATGAAAAATACTTGAAGGTCTACCACCAGAATATCTTTTAAATAATTTTTTTTTGGAAATCAACGATGAAAGTGTAGCGAAAACTCTAGGAATACGATGGAATGCAAAGTGTGATAGATTTTATTTCACAACGTCCCCAATACTGACGAAGGAAAATTATACAAAGCGTGAAGTTTTATCCACTATTGCTAAAATGTTTGACCCAGCTGGCTGGTTAGGTCCTATAGTCGTTATAACTAAAATTTTAATGCAACAGATTTGGAGTGAGAGAAGCGAATGGGATGAATTTATATCCAAGAATTCATTAGAAAAATGGAATGAATTCCTTCAAAATTACAAATTTATAAATGAAATCCAGATATCTCGGTGGATCGGGTTTAAACCGTCAGCAAATGTAGAAGTTCATGGATTTTGTGCTCTTTTATTGGCGAATTTAGTAGAAATTGTGCAAAACGACTTAAACTTGAATCAAAATAACACTAAGTTTTTTACTTGGACTGATTCAATGATTGTTTTAGCATGGCTGCAAAAACCTCCAAATACGTGGACTACCTTTGTTGCCAATAGGGATGCCAAGATTTTAGCTAAAACGAGTAAAGAAAGTTGGAGACATGTGATCTCAAAGGAAAATCCAGCGGATTTAATTAGTCGTGGTGTTTGTCCACAAGACCTTATAAAAAACAGTCTTTGGTGGAATGGTCCAACGTGGCTTCGTTCGTCAGAAAGTTATTTGACATTGCCTTCACGAGGAAAACTTAGTACTAGGGAAGAAGAAAGAGTACATAAGGTATTTTTTCGTATTTTAAATCCTATTCCGACTTATTGGAGAACTTTTCGTCGTACCCCAGAGCTCTCAGAGTAGTCGCATACGTTTATAGGGGAGTTAATAGGATTCTCAAGAAAAATCAACAGTACTTTAGTTTGGAAGTTACAGCAGACGAAATTAAATGTGTGAGGAAAAACCTAATTATTCTTGCTCAAAAAGTTCACTATGGGAGTGAGTATTATGAACTTGAAAATAGGAAACCGATTACAAACAGCAAAATCTTGAATTTAAATCCTTTCTTAGATAATAAGGGAGTAATAAGAGTAGGAGGTCGGTTGGCAAATGCCCCGAATTTATCATATAATGAAAAATTTCCCATATTACTAACATCCAGTTGCCATTTTGCTAAACTCTATGTCAAATTTATACATGAAATTACAATGCATGTAGATAATCAGTTGATGTTATGAGTATTGAGAATGGAATTCTATATTCCTCGAGCTAAGAATTTGATAAAGACTATAATAGGTCGGTGCAGAATTTGTACGATTGAAAAGAAGACCACACATAGTCAGATTATGGCAGCATTGCCTACAGCGAGGACAGTCATTTCTCAACCTTTTACCACGACTGGCGTAGATTTTGCAGGACCCTTCGATATTAGAAATTATACGGGTCGAGCTTGTTTGATAACGAAGGGTTACGTTTGCGTTTTTATATGTTTTGCAACGAAAGCAATCCACCTAGAAGCTGTTAGTAGTCTGTCTACTCCTGCATTCTTAGCGGCTTTCTATAGATTTATAGCTCGCCGAGGTTGTCCTAAAGATATGTATTCGGATAATGGAACTAACTTTGTAGGTGCATCAAGAGTATTGAAAACTGAGTTTCGAACTTTTCTTCGTGAAATAGATAGTGAGATACATTTTAGGTATGCTCATCAAGGTATTAATTAGCACTTTAACCCCGCTAATTCTCCTCATATGGGAGGGTTATGGGAGGCAGGGGTTAGAAGTTTTAAATACCATTTCCGCAGAATTGTTGGTGGTTTAAGGTATACATTTGAAGAATTCTCCACTCTATTAGCTCGAATAGAATCTTGCTTAAATTCAAGACCTCTATGCCCAGTATCGGAGAGTGTTGATAGTTTAGATTGTTTAACCCCTGGTTACTTTCTTATTGGTGGTCTATTATTAGCACCGCCTGAAATGGAAATCTTAGAAGCTCCGATATCTTTTGTAAATCGAAGGCAAAGAGTTAAAGCCTGTAGATCTTTTCGAGAAAAGATCTACAGGTGGGTGATATGGTTGTGATTCGAGAAGATAACTTACCGACAAACGAATGGCATTTAGGTCGGATAGAAAAATTACATATTGGTAGAGATGGCCATGTCAGATTTGTGGAGTTAAAAACAGCACGAGGCTCCATAGTTAAACCAGTTGTGAAGCTAGTGGTTCTTCCGACTGAATAGTATTTAATTTTCATACTATTATTTGCAGAAACATCATGTCTAATCGTAGAGGTCCTGTTGAAGGTCGTCGTACTTCAAATTTGATTTGCCGGATTTGCTTAAAACGTCACCCTCTGCGGTATTGTAAAAAGTTTTTACAGGTGGACTACGAAGAGCGAATGCGACTGGTCTCCATCTATTGCTATTGCGCTGGCTGTTTGGCTCATGACCACACTTGGCGGACGTGTGAAAGTACGAACCGATGTGTACGTTGTGGTGATATGCATCACACGTTATTACATATTACAAATGCACATAACTCATTACCAAAATTTTACTTAAAAAAAATGCACGATCGGCCCATATTTGGTCATAGCCCTGTATAAATTAACATAATGTATTATTTTGTATTTTAAATGAATTATATATATGAAATGAATTATACCAATGAATTGTATTTAGTATTATAAGTAGCTATAAGTTTTCTCTCCTTTCTTTCGTTAAATGAAAATCGCGTGTTTTTAAATGAATTGTAAACACTATTCCACAGTGGGGCAGAATGGAAATTTTTTGGAAATAAATCTGGCATTTCTAAACGGCTGATCCGATCGGGATAAAATTTGGCGTGAGCGTAGCCAAGGAGTATTTGAGTTTAAGTTTTGAAGATGAACCCTGCAGATGCCCCAGGGACGGCGCTGTGGCGGCTCAAAGTAGGGTACCTACGACATGTAAAATTTTTAAACTCGTGCCATTTTTTTGTTTTTCACCCAAATACAAAGATTTTTATATTTTGTGAAAGCGCTCAACGAGATCTTGAACATGCTTGGACATACTACTTATCTCTTATAATATCCGAGTTATAGGCATTTAAAAATTTAGTGATACAAAATTTACCATACCTTGGTCCGCCTTTTTTTGAATACCGGGCGTAATTTTGGACCAAATGGACCAAATTTTTTCCTGTTAGTTAGACAACAAATTTCCAATAATATACAAAAAATTTCAGATCAATATCGTTTACAGATCCAAAAATATACGTTTTTTAATTTAAAAATTCAAAAAATTTTAGATTTTTGGCGTTTTTTTGCCAAAAATGTGTCTTAACTCTTTTATTAATAAAATAAAATTTTTATTAAGAACATATAACAATTTTATAGTTTTCTAAAAGGTATCTTTACGCAGAACGCTCTGGCGTAAAAAACTTGTCCTATTTTTTGAAAATGTTGCCACTGCGTCCTTCCGAATATGACCTATTTTTTATCAAAACTTCAACTTTGGGCGACATGTTCTAAAATCCCAAAGCTGGGATCAGAAAACTGAAAGCAGTTTTGGAAACCTCAATATGTTTTCTATTTACTCCAAAAGTATTTTCCCAGCCCTGAAAGAAATGTGGACCCTATGGGCAAAAAAGTAAAAAATCCCATTTTTGGGATTTTCATTCCTATTTTTGGGAATTGCGGGATGCCCTTTGACCTTTTCAATTTTTTTTTTGCATATTCTTATTTGAAATGACAAATTTAACAAGCGTTGAAAATTTCATTGAGTTTTGTTCATAAATAAAGATTTTGTCATATATTACATATTTGTTTAATTTCTAAAACTATGATTTATATCAAAATTTTAATAGGATCGCAGATAGCTACAATAATTTAGTCCATATTTATCCTTTAATATCATTTTTTAGTTAGATATGGAAATTCTCGACCCTTTACAAAAAATTTCATGCCAATATCTCAATTACATTCAAAAATATGTTCATTTAAACCTGTGTCCTTTAATTTCATCTTTTTCATATTTTAGTATTAAGTATGACAGAACATACATTTGGTGTTGAATAAAATATTTGGACAATTTTTAAAAATTATTTAGTTAATTATTTTATTATAATATTGTATATAAAATAAAAAAAATTATAATTTTATTATGAGCCACGCACAACAACACCTAAATCACCCCACACAAATTACCTTTCCCGCCCACCGAAATATAAAACACAATTTAATACAATATCATCAGTTAGTATAATAGCTTTTTTTATTTGAACTGTTTATCTTAAACATAATACAATTAATTCTTACAACCTACTTATATAGTTAATTCCTAACACTACTTATTTTCTATAAAATAATCTGTCATATCGGTATACATATCCAGAAGGTAATATAAGTCCTTTAAATCTTCCTTGTTTTGAGATGATAGAGTTTCATAACAAATCCATCTTTTTCGCATAGTTGAAAGAACAGGATCAGAAGATAGAAGTAAACTATTAAAAATATCTTCATTCTGTGATTGCCTGGAGCATTTTCTTGAGCTGAATAGTTGAACATGCTTAAAATCTCGATTCCTCGCTTCCTGGGCTTCTTCTGTTAACTCTCCAAGTGGAAGAATATTCGATTCAATTATTATTTGACCATGACACAATACTTTGTGTACTGTTGGTGTTAGTTCCCTCCATGGATACAGAGATACAAGTAATTTAGAAATTTCAGATGTGTATTCCCCAAATCGATTTTCATTAATTTTCTGTTTACTATTCAGTGCCATTAAAATAGTTTTAACTCTTCGAAGCAACTCCTTGTCGA